ATAAATTCTTTTGTTTTTATATTACTAGTAATAGGGAAGGTAAATTTTGTAGTAGTTTTGATTTTACTAGTATCTTTAGATAATAGAGGTTTAGTAACAAAGAAGTCATTTGATAGAAGTTTAAATATATAGTATTTTCTAAGCATAGTAATAATATCTATAAGGGGGATTATGAAGATAGCTAAGTTGAATAAAAAGTATTTTTGAACTATGAGATTAAGTTTTTGATAAGTTAAAGAAGAGGCTTCTTGGAAGGTAAGAGTTTGAAGTAGATATCAGAGATTTTGGTTACTATGTAATAGTCTGCTAGTTTTCTTTTATATATAGCTAGATGCTAGAAAAAAGATTAGTATAAGATCAAAAATAGCTGGTAAAGGCTAGCAAGAAGAGTGCTATAATGTAGAAATAAAGAGGAAAGTTTAGCAAAATAGGTTACTAGTAGCTTAGAAAATTTGAAAGTTTTTCTTAGAGTATTAACTATTGCTTTTGTATGTGACCATTGTGTAATTAGAAGTTTAAACAAGAGGATGTTTTGGATTTCTGTGAGGATTTGGTCAGGCATGTCTGGAAGTAGAATTAGTTTGTTTTTTAGTGTATTATTAATTTGGGTTTTAATTTTTTTAGAGGTTTGTTCATCTGAGTTTTTGATTTGTAGGAAGCCTCTAGCATACTGAATTACTCTGTATATTTGCCTTGGTAAAATGCATACAAAGTTGAGATTAGAGATGTATTGTATGATAAGCATTTTATAGATAGTATTGTAGGTTATAGTATTAGTAAGTATAATTTTATTATTTTTCTTGTAGGCTGTAAGAGCTCTGTTAAAGAGGTTGGTATATTTTTTTGATATGCAGAGGTGGTTTTGGAGTTGTGAGTAAATGTTGTGAAAAATCTGATATCAAGATATATAAATTTTAAAAAGATTGCTTCTGGCAGTTTGAATTGAGTAGGTGTAGTAGCTAGCTTGTAGTAAGTAAGTTTATATATATCTTTTGAAGTAGTGTTTTAAACCGTCAACCGAAAGTTCAACCGGGGCTGATCTGGGTAGACTTCTGGGTATTCCCAGCCAATCGCTGATGTTTGTTTAAATGGGTAAAATAGGATTAACACATCCTATTTTACTCGATATAAACAAATATTAGCGATTGGCTGGGAATACCTGGAAGTCTTCCTGGATCAGCCCCAGTTAAACTTTCGGTTGATAGTTCAAAACACTATTCTGAGATAGTAAGTACAGTTGTGATAGTGTTATATGTTAAGATCTTTGTATTGAAGAAAGTGTTGGAGGGTGTGAAAATTCTTCTATATACAATTGTTGCTTATTCTATATTGTTGGGGGTATTGGTAGTTAGTAATTTAAAGTTGGTTTTGGTAACTTGGCTATATAATAATTTGGTGTAGAAGCCTAGTTATTGGTGGAGTCTAGAGGTAGTAGAAGAGCTACCAAGAAGCACTTTGGTAGTCTTGTTAAAGGTTGTAATTAATAGTGATATATTTTTAGCTCTTTTATGGTTAATACTAGTATTGGGTATAGTAATTTGGCCTGGAGGTATACTAGATCTGGGTGTGGGGTGGTAGTAATAGTATCATTAGCAGTATTGGTTGGAGATGTGGTAATGATTGGGTAGAGGTTTGTATCTTTGTCTGTATTACTGTTTGTAGCTATGCTTGTGTTTGTTTAGTCACTAGCTAGATTATATAATAGTACAGGTTTCTTGAGAGCTAAGAGTATATGTGTGTTTACTATTGCTTTTGTTGGACTCGTTATCAGATTCAATTTGTATAATGAAGTTGTATGTGATTTTGGACAGGTTGGAGATACTTTTAGCTTTGGTATATGGTTTCATACTATCTTTATATGCATGTATAGTTGTATTAAGATCACAAGTACAGATTGATTTGGGAAGTTTGGCGCTAATATTGATGATATTGTTTTTATATATCGTGAGATTGAAGAGAACTAATTAGGTAATATCTTCATGTTTGCAGATCTATTGAGGAGGGTAGTTTGCCAAATTTGAAATTCTTTTTGATTTAGTAATATCAATATAGAAGAGAAAGTTATTGGTGTGTTTAGAAATAGAGAAGCTAACTATAAAGGTAAGTTTAAACCAATCTTTGATAGTAATTTTAACAAAATTTTTTATATATTCTGTTTCTGAAGTTGGTGGTTTGGTGCCAGATAAGTTGTCACTAGGTTGTGCGGGTTTGTGGAATAGAAAAAAATAGCTAAAGAAAGAAGAGAAGTTTTTGAAAATCATATTTTTGCTTAAGAGCTAAGGTTTATTAATTTGAATATTGTAGTAGTTTTTGGTGTTTTGGTATTGCAGGTTGGTAATACTTAAAGCAGGACTGTTTGAATGTTGGCTATTTTTATAGCCACTTTCACTGAAGGATAAAAAAACTAGTTTTTTTGTCTTTTGATAAGTTTATTGCTATTTACTTGATAGAAAAAAAGCTTTTTAAAAAAAATAAATTTTTTTTAAGTACTATTTAAGAGCCAAATAACTATTTATTTAGTAGGTTTTTGAAATAATTTTGTGAAAAAGTTTGTTTCTATTTTGGTAAAAGTGATCTACAATAAGAGTTCTTAAATATTTATTTTGTATATAGTTATCATCCTCTATAATTATACTATTTGTTTTACATAAAAAAAGTGGTTATAAAATTTTAATAGTAATGTAATTATATAGAGTTTTTTTTAGTAAATATATATATTGCAAATAATTTTTCAAAAAATAGTGCTTATAAATATTATGAGCTAACTTTTTAAAATCAATTTTATTAAATACTATTTCACTAAAGTTATAATACTAATATCCTATTTTACTAACAAGATGTAATTCCAAAAATATTATTTAATTGATAATAAATTTTACTAATAAGTCACTTATCTGCAATTTTCATCTCACTGAATATTAAAAAGATAAATATCTACTTTACTAACATGCTATTTATCTGAATAGTATATTTTTTCTGATATTTTATTACTTTGAAAATATATTACTGAAAGCTCTTTTACTGAAGAATATCTTACCAAATTTACAGCTATTTTTATAAACTTTGAGCTATTTGATAACCTAAAAAAAGATATAACCTAATTTCTGACTGACAACCATTTTATTAACAAAGTTAGCTTGGTTTATGTTGAGTTAGTTTAATTTATGCATTTTTATTTAATTGAGAAAACCTCTTGTTGGGAATTTCTTTTTGAGGAGAATCTTTTTAGAAAAACATCTTTTTGAGAAAATATTCTTTCAAGAAAAATATATCAAAATATTTGTTAGTAAAATAACTTTAGAAAAAATTTTTGTTTGGAGAATGGGAGTTTGGAGAAAAAGTTTTGTTAATAAAAAGTCTGCCAAATAAATTTTTTTAAAAATTTAGGTTGTGGCAAAAAAAAAAAAATTGGTAAAAAAATTTCTATCAGTAAAATATACTGCCAAAAATATGTCTTGTTGAGAATAGATATCAGAATTATGGGGGTCATGAAAATAGTATTTCAGAAAGGTAGGGTTTGGAAAAGTGAGAATCAACGCATAAAGAGAGTGTGATTATATAGAAGGTGACTGTAGAGAAGGATGACTATACTAAATTTATTTAATTAATAGACTGAACTATTTAACCAATTTGACCAGACTATTTGACCAATTTGACCAGACCAGTTTGACTAATGAATTTTTGGTTGACTAGTAATTTGGCCAACTATGAGTATATTATAATATAAACTAATAATATATATTTTGAATTTTTTTTTTTATTGAAAATAGATAAGAAATATATAGACATATAGCATTATTTAATTTATTAAAGATTGCACATGCTATATATGTTTGGGTTTTGTATATTTGATATAGAATTAGATATAAATTATTTGGTTCTATAAATTAACTATTCGAAGTTAGTTTATTAATTAAATGAACAAAAAAATAAAAATCAGATATAGTTCTGAATTCCAATCATATTAAGATTTATCATTTTATTATTATAACAATTTATTAAGAAAAACATTTAGTATCTAATGTTACATATAATTTAATAATTTTTACGACTATATATACTAAGTATAAACATATATGAACAATTTTTATTACAAAAGCAACTAATATATAAACAAAATAACAAAATATCTATTATCCTTTTTTTACAGTATCTTTCTTTTGCACTTGAGAAGTAGATGTTTTTGTCAATTGCGTTTTTGAAGCTGTTGCTTCTAAACTTCTTGTTCCATTAGAGCTTGAAATTTTGGGGGTTGATTTCCTAGTTGCAAACAAAGTACTAGTAGATTTTGAAATTGTTTTAGGTGCCTTCTTACTGGTTACGACTTTTGTTATTGGTGGGCTATTAGTTGCCACCGTTTTTGTTGCAGAAGGTAATTGTTTTTTGATCGTCTATAATATTTTAAGTAAAGCAAAATTAATAGAAACAATAATTCGAATATAATAATAAAAATATTATAATTAATGGAATTCTAGTTCTCACCTCAATCCTAGCAGAAACGAGCATAAATGCTTCAAAGATGTGTTTAACCAATAAATTTTCCGGAAAACAATTGTCAACCACTTCTTCATTAATCCAAGATGCCCACAAGTTCAATGATGGATCACCGAAATATAATGACAATGGTTCATTATCTTTATTCGAGTCCACTGATAAAAATCTTAACATAAATCTTTTTAATGCTGACACAAAATCTTCTGCAGGAATTTTTGTCATCTCAAATTCAAATTCCAAAAATTGTCGTTGACGCAATTCAAAATCTAGTGATGTTATAATCTCTTGTTCTAATTCAGGCGTTAATGGTGATTTGTATTTATCATCTATATATTCGATTATACCATTCGCTACTTGTTCTTCAACTATTTCATATAATGATACCAAATGACATAATTTCAAGCCGATTTTCAATAAATTGTTAAATGATTCATTAGTGAACAAGTTGGAAAGTTTTATCCATTGATTAACATATTCCTCGATCAAAATTTCTCCATCACCAACTGAAGTTTTTTTAACAAAACAAAGTAAAATTTCTAAATGTGAAAGGAGCTCTGATGCATTGTCATAAGATAAAGACTCTTGATATCCGAAAGAGGATATTGGGGAAAATGCAGATCCAAGAATAAGTCCAATTTTCTCTGTTGAAATTGGTTTCTGTGGAATTAGATCTTTGATGTCACTGATAATTCTCATATGCCCATGAAACAATTCCATGTGGTAAGGAAAAGGTTCTATGTATAATTGTGAATCTGCAGTGCTAATATGAACTTTTTCGAAGACCAATAATTGAGCAAGTTCAGATTCAATCTTTTGTAAATTATATATAATGTCATGCCCATGACCAATCTCAAGATTTCTTTGACTATGTTGAAGAAAATCGTCGCTCCATTGAAAATCAATAAAGTTAGTGGCTTGCATTTGATCTATTCGCATCGATTGAATGTAATATCTGGTGATAGTATTTTTGTTTGATGAAGAAGACGCTGCTTTGTTTTCACTACTGAATGAACCATCCTCTAAGAACTTAAGAGAGTTACAGGTTCCAGGATTAATCTCTGCAACCTCTTGCAGGAAATTATTTTGTAACCCAATTAAATACTCTAGAATCGCGCAAAGATAAACACCAGTGTCTTTTGGTTCCACTAATCCAAATACAATAGGAGAACTAAGATTTATTTGAGGTTTCGTTGCTGGAAGTTGGTGACATTGATAATATTTAACTTTGTCAATAACTGTATTCCAAGCTTTCGCAAATTCTTCAAATGTTGAACTCAAATAATCATATATTTCATTCTTTTCGTCATCATATGATTCGTTATCAATAAATTCTCGGAATGTCTGTTGTTGTGCTTGTGTTCTGCTCAATCGATATTCGAGTGTTGTTGACAAAATTCGTACAAATTTTGAAATTGGTAAAAGGTATTTAATAAGTTCTAAATTTTGTTTATGCTTATAGAATACAGAGAGAAACGGAAAACTTTTTGAATGTTTGGTCAGGTCAGCAAAATAGAATGCACGGAAACTTTCAAAGTTAATATCACAAATTATGCGCCACAGCTTTGGGAGGTGTTCCAGATTATGCTGTTTATCCATCTTTAAGGTTTGATTGATCTCTCCTTCAATTCTGTTGACGCTATCTTTTGAGTTGGTTGCGGCTGTATCGATTTGATTCTGGAAATTATTTGCTGTTGTTGTAATTGATTTTACAAGCGGGGAAATATAATTTTCGGAAAAATATGATTCCCACTCTTTACGATCTGCTGCTTTCCTTAATGATGTATTTTTGGGAGGTGAATTTGTCATCAAGTCGAGAATCGAATGCAATAATAATGCTAAATTTTCATGTGATGTATTCAAGATTCTTAGAAGTACGTTCCAGTCGTTGGTAATATGACCCATACAATAAGTTGAAACATTAGTATTCGCCTGATTATTCTTATCTAAAAAAGATTTTGCAATTGATGTATGCGCCCAAGCTCCAATTATTACATGAACAAATAAATGTAAAATTCTATAAGAAACCGGGGTCAAAGAACGAAGACAATGTAACATTGAGGGACTTTCTGATTCCATAATATACCCGGGTTTATCTCTTGCAGCAATAGTATTAGTGATTGGATTTGAATCCAATTTTTTTTGTCCTGGTGCCGAAATGTGGTTATGCCCTCCAATTACTTTCTTGCATTCAGGACAAGTGCCAATGGAGTATGCCTTACCACAATCTGCTATTACATATTTATATCCACATTCGCAGGAATATCTATATGTTTGTCTATGGTTAAAATATTGGTCGCAAAAGCAACGAATCAAAGTTTAATTTTCTAGAAACATACCGAGTTACTTGCCCGCTCTGGATTACGGCTGAGATAATCAGTGCCTTTTTTAAATGGAATGTATATTAACGATACGTTTTGTTACATGAAATGTATTAGTGACGATAACGATGAAAATACGCACTTCGATATCAGAAACACAGGTAGGTATAAATAGGTCAGAACAATTATTCAAGTTATGTAGCATATATGCTAAAGGGGTAGATTCCGCTGGAATTGACGCATGTAATGCAATAACATGGCCAATGACAGATTTTACGAGTAATTCGGAATTTGTAACGTTCTGATTTATTCTAAGCAATGAATGGTTATTTGATATTATGTTGTTGATAGTCTGTTTATATATGGTTGACGGGACACTTAAATGATCAACTTTTTCTTTTAAAAATTCCGCTATCTTTTTTTCTTCCTCTGTCCAATCGCGTGAAGCCCTTATTACATGAAGTCGACTAATAATAAAACCTATTAAAGCTATCAAGGATTTATCAGCCGATTCTTTCTTTTTTAATGATGTAAAAAAGAGATTAAATGATGCTTTGTTGTTAAGGCTATGAAGAGTAGTAAAACTCTTTTCAACCGTAATGTAATCTTTAAGGCTCCAATACGGATTAAATGGAAGCCTTGTTTCGTTGTTGGAATCCCAAGGCAAGTCACCAAGCCATGGTAATATTTGTTGCTGTGCTTCACAAAACCTTCGAACTTCGTTCATAGACAAACCTTTGTTACGCAACTCTCTTAAGAAATATATCTTGAATGAATAAATTAATGGATCAATTAAATTCATAGAAACGTTTATTTCTTGAATTAGTGCGTTTGTATCAAAGCCACCAATTTTTTTCGCAGCTTCAAACTTGATTGGTTCCATTATGTTCTCCTGAATTGAATAATCCCAAAATTGTTTTGCGAATTCTTTGAGAAACGCTATAGCACAAATCTTTTGTAAAGCTACGGCATTAGTGTCACTAAGTACGTCAACAACATCTCTAAAGTTATTTGCTAATTCTTGAAATGATAATTTCGCGAAGAACAACTTTTGAATAATGTCACAACATAAAGTTGACATTGCCGAATCAAGTCCTTGTGCTTTTAAACATTCATTAATAAGGTTTAGCCTTGAAGAAAGAGTGAAAATTTGATTTGGATTTTTAATAAGCGTCATAAATACACAATCTTTTTCTTCACACTTTAACACACGAATTATAATTGGGCTCATAAAATGAAAGGGCTTTTGTGAAAATATATTCTGATAAAGATCCTTATGAGAAGGTGAATTTTTAGGAACCATATCAAGACATTTGTTAATAAAAGATAATTTCAGAATAGAATTCTCATTATTATTTGAAAGCTTTTTCATTAACGAAAAAATTGTTTCGATAAATTTTTGATTGAATATATCGAGACCCTTTGATCCTTTTCCAGCTTTCATTATTTCTTTCATATTTGATATTGAGATTGAATCCGCTGAAACAAAATTATGACATACTTGTAATAAATGTAATGATGCAAATGTTGAAGCCTCCGGGAGTCTTTCGCTGAGAGATAAAACCTTGGAGACTTCTCGTTGCCAGCATTGAAATTGAATAGCTGCTGATGTTCCAGGTTTGATGCTATTTAATTTTTGAAACATCATCTTAGTAATTCCTTCGATGAGATAATATCCAAATGGCATATTTGTTGTTTTTCCATTCTCGAAGATAGTTTCATTAATAATTGAAGGACATAACTTGGCCAGCTGAAATTCTGCCATAATCTGATTGGAATGCTCCCACCAGAAAGCGTGAACTAAAATAGGATCTAATACTTTCTCAGATCCAAGATTGTATTTAAAAATAAATAATAGAATTGGAATGTCTTTTTTGCTTGATCTATCAGCAGAAATAATAGTGATGAAATCTTCTAAATATAATTCTGGCGCATATTCAAGTGGAGATGTATTGAGATTAGGAATTGAGACCATAATATTATTTTTCAAGCCCATTATGTAATCTTCAAAAATATAATCGTAAAGTTTTCCCGTGTTAGGATCAATATTAGTAGGATTTTCTTGAAGTAAACGAATCTCTTCCCCATAAAGTTTTTTGAAAGTATCAATTTGTTTAATAAAATAATAGGAAAATGGGAATTGAAGATCATAGGAAATATTTGGCATTAAGTATCCATCTGGTTTCGGTTCTGATAGCTCATGAGTATTTAAAAGATCTCTGTCATTAGTCATTTGTTTCCAAAACTCAAGTAATAATTTAGAATGCTTGGATGTTGACCATTTTAGATTCAAGAAAGTCTTTGTTAAAAATAATCGTTCAAGACAACAAAGAAGTTTAGCGATAGGTATTCGAACCAGTGCACGTATGTGAGATTGTAAAGCTGTTGAAAATGAAGAATAGGGATACAATAATTTTTTGTCAGATGCAACATGATATTGCCAATCGTTGGATGAGTTATCTTGAAGCCATTCAAATGTTTTGGTTTTTAAAAAATTGACCAAATCTGGTTGCTGAGGAATCTCTGCAATAAGTGTTCTAGAAAATTACGGATTCATGTATTATTAAAGAATTTGTTAGTAGCGGATATACAAAAGTAAACAATATGATTAATGATACTGTACATACTTGATGTGATTAATCGACTTGACGTCTGATGGATATTTCATACACAACAAGCACCACAATAATTCTTGTTGCAAAATGTCTTCAAAAGAATACAAGGTATTAATAACGTCACATAGATCTCCATTCAAAAGACTGGACAAAGATTTTTCTTGAGGAATCAAAGATTCGATTGTGACTTGTTTCCATCCACACATAAAATTAAATGATTCAAAGGAAGTCTTACGATCTCGATGAATATGAAGAATAATACAAACATGCTTAGTAATTGTATCATGTGTGTTCTGTTGTTGTTGCTTCATATTCAAATAATCTATCCTAAATTGCTCGATTATGAATTTAGCTAGTTTAATACATCCAAAATTAACGGTTGTGACGTCGCATTGTAGAATCAATGTCTGAACACTCGGTGATTCAAACCAAAAATGCTTAATCCTGTTCTGAAATTGAGCCTCTGTTTTGAATGTTGAGAGCTTTAACACAGTACATGTGGTGATACCTTGTAAACATACTTTAACGTCTGCATTAATATTTGAAAATGTGTTGATGATCACTTGTTGTCCATCAGCGGTCGCTTTCGGATTTTGATCACAAAATAAATTTTTAAAATAATCAGCGATATGATCATTATGTAAATTAAAATAAACATTCTTCCAATAATCAACTTCGTCACGACTCAGTGCACTCTTTTCAGCTCTTATAATTCCATCTGAGGAAGCGATAGTAATTAATGCTTCCTTGCACCTTACGAGTATCTCATCCAATTGAAGTTGTGGATTATTTTTTCTAACATCTATCACCAAACTTTGTAAAGTTTCGTCTTGGTCAAATCCAATGAACAAATCTTTTTGAGTAAATTTTTTGTGCGTTGGGACAAATTCACTCAATGACATAATGGTCGACATATTCTGTGCCCAATTTGATAATTGCTGTACTAACAGAAGTTCATCAGATGATAGAATATCATTGATTGTCATCTTTTGTTTCTCAAAACGATTCAAGAGTGGTGGATCCGCTTTTGGTAGGTTCTTTTCGTCAAGTACAAGAATGCATCTAAAATTCTTGTTGACATACCTGTAAACAAAATTATTATTTCATTCACATAAACTTAAAGAAATTGAATTATAAACATCATAAACTCAGGAGTGAAGACTTACAACATCGGATTAGCATAAGCCCCAAGTGCTACCCTGGTATAATACTTTGGGTCTTCAGCACTTCCGACAACTATATAATTTTGATTCCACAAATCATAAAGGCTTCCTGTTATTGAAACAAATGTATTGATTAATTAATGGAAGCGTTATATGCATGCTGAAAGTTATCTATAAGAATATACCATAAATAATCTCTAAATCTGTCAAAATTAACGGTTTTCCCGCTTCAACACACATCTAATGATAAATACACATATTCGTTAATGTTAAACCAAAATTTCAAATCTTGCTATTGCTTATTTACCACTGTATATAACACCGGTTTTGATTAGTATTTACGAGTCCAGTAATTTTATTGGTGGTGAAGGAGTTTCTTATATGGTACGTAAAACATTATTTTGGGATCTATATGCAGTGGTAAATAGTATATCATGACAATGTGAAAAAAATCATACCATAATTCTATTTAGAACGCTGTAGGAATAATCATCCTGATCATCAGGAAACTGTGATCCAAAAATAATAACGGGGTCTAAATTTCTCTGTCTTAATTGATATGCCAATAAATTAACTACAGAATCGCTTTTTCCAATAGCCATTAAATGTCTCGCACCCTCATCATCCAAATTCAAATGTATTAACTGTTCAGTAGGTATAGGATTATAAATCCAACCTCTATGATTATTAAATTCATTTATTGCGTTATCAAAATATTTTTGACATATTTCGGCAAATTTGTTGGTACCACCAAAATTCCTCGCCAACGACATTTGAATATTTTCTGGAGTTAGATCATTCAAAGAAAGGGATTTAATGAAAGCATAGTAATCTCTTAGGCCATGGAAGTTTGGAATGATTTGACCTTCTTGCTCATAAATGGAATATGCTTTTGCGAGTGGGTATAAAGATGCTTTTTGAATATGGTCAGAAATTTTATTGTCCAATATTCGAGCTGCAGTATCCACCAGATCATCTAAGTCAAACCTGGGTCTGAAGATAAATGATCATATGTAAAAATTAACTCTATGAAAATCAAACAAACAGCCATAGTGATAAAATTATGCAAACCTTTGAACTAATAAAGCTCTACTACTTTTGCTATTGTCCAACCTCCAATTACTTATTCCAATAACAGAAACGCTAGGGCGGCTAGATTTATAACTTGGTTCCAATAATGAATGAAGTACCTTCAACGGATTAAATGGACTTGTCTCAGCCAGTCCTACTTCATCCAATAGAACTACACTGATTACGGGAAATTCATTTGAACTTGTCTCTTGAAAGTTTTGAGCTTTTTGAAAAACCTTTAAAATTCCCTCGGATGTTGAAGATGATGAACCTTGATGAGGAATAAGGTATACCTAATATATATCATTATGCATTTTAAATCGACATGATTCATTAAGAAAAAATCTGCATAACACAAACGTCATCGTCTATTTATTTACCTGTGGCAATTTCCTAAAGTATTCATCATTCGAATCAGACCCACGCAGATTTTGGCCAACAAGGCGAATGGCCAATGATTTTGAAGATCTATTAAATTCAAAAATAAGTACACTACCATATTAAAAATACTATCCAATTGACAAACAAATATGTAACATACCCAGGCGCGCCGATAATAAAAACAGGTATTCTGGTTAAAATACAAACGGTCATAACTAAAACATTTTCCAGAAGCGCCTCATTTTTTGCAGTATTTGGCGGACAGACCATCCTATTAATATAATCTTCTTGTTCATCTCTAATAATCTTAATGAATTCTTTTTCATCTACATCAACATCATAAGTTTTAAATATTTCACACATAATCTCTCTATATTTTTTGCGTAATGATTGGTCATATAACCTCGATTGATAACAAAGCCCTAATGCTAAAATATATGAACGAATGTTAATATGTGAATCCGGCGGATATTTCGATGCATTTTTACGAATTGGAGGACGATTTTGTAAACTCTCGTAAAAGAATTGAATTAAAATTATTGCACGCTTTATGTCACGAAGACTAACGCTATATGGTTCTTCTACACTTCGAATATATTGTTGGGAGGCCGATAATATGTCAGCTAAAGCTGGGTGATTTAATTCCTTTAATTGTGTAGCTACCATGATTTGAATATATTTTTTTTCATCATCTGGTTGAAGTATACCATAATCCCAGACATAATCAAGGATTTGATCTGGAAGCGGTTTTACTTCGTAAACAAGATTACTTTGTTCTTCATATTTCTTAATTTTCTTAGTTTGTAATCCAGCCTCGCTAATACTTTTGGTGCGAATCCTGTAAGGATTACACGCAGCAAACAATCGAATGTTGTGATGTATTGAGTTGCCAAGATAAATTCTATGAGCTATTAAGTCCGAAAGAAGACCTATGTGATTGCAAGTATTAATCTCATCAAAAAATATCCAAACTTCGCCTTTCTTGGCATTATTACGGGCGTTGATCATGAATTCAGTAATAATTTGTTCGTTAATTCCAGCATGAAGATTAAGAGCAAAGAATTGAGCTCCAACAACTTCGGCCAAGAATCCAATCAAACTTGTCTGGAAAAATAGATATATATATATTAACTTGATAATAAACACAAACATATTAATCAAAGTACAATGACATCATTAAGTGTATATATCACCTTTCCACATCCAGCTTCTCCAGAAATGACAACCGGAATATTTGCACGTGTTCTCAATAAGATTAATGCCATCTTCACCAAATTATCTGCAGACAACGCGTAAGGTGTATATTCAATCTTATGAAATGTTTTTCTAGCAATGCTTTCCAATTTTTCTAATAGAACTTCGGCCGACATTTTCGCATAATCATCCAGCTCCCATTGTTCCAAATTTTGTGCGATAAATTGGCTTTTAAGCAATGTTTGGACATTTTCGGGTACTTTTTCCTTATCGCGATACAAGGCACAAATAGAATCTGGTGCTTGTGATAAAAAAAATACTAATAAATGATTTGAATCATCCCACTTCACAATTGTACTTAATTGTGTATTTTCAGTGCCATCAAATGAAGTTGCCTCTAATTGTGCTGATTTCGTTTGAATTGACCTCACGGCGAAATCCTTTGATACTTCTAATAACGTTTCTATTAATGTCGTCCTAATATTTGTTTCTTCTTCAAGCATTAAAGCTAAATTTTCAACTTTGAAATATGAACTTGAAGATAGTCGAATTAACTGATTAGCAAAGACATTAATAAAAATTTCCAAAAATCGGAATGATAGTATTTCCTCTGAATTATTGTCTTTAAAGAAATATCGATTTATAAGTTCTCGACATAGTGCATCGCATATTTCATCATTTTTTGTGCTTGTGTCTATGAACGAAATGTTTTTTGTATCAATCTGACGCATATAAAGTGCAAATAAGTAACGACATACTATTTGCATGGGACTATTAATATCTCGTGAGATTATCAAATTAGTAATATTCCATGTAATATGATGTTTCGGCAAATAATCCATCATCGGAAGTGATCTTAGTAAATGCTGTTGGAAGCTCGATGCAATCTCAATATATATGAATGTGCGAGGAAGGCTTGCTATATCGGCATTATTAGATACAATTCCAAAACTTAAAAGTTCAAAAAGAAACAAATTAACATCACCGGGATAATCTGATGAAATTATATTTATATGCACGCATTCTATTGGTCTAAGTGTAAACTCTTTTAATTGCCTAACAAGCTTTCCAAAATCAGCTCCATCACTAATGAGAATACTCTTTGGAAGTTTATTATTTTCAAAGCACTGTCGCCTAATCCATTCCGTTTTGCCCTGGCCTGAAAGATCCGATGATACGCATGTAACATTAGAACATAATTTTTGATAAATAGTTGACATCGCACTAGAACTTAGACCGTTTGTTGGATGAACATCTTGTGAAAATTGATCCAATATGTGATGTTGCATTCCACCTTCAGAATAGCAGATTAACGCTAGGAAGTAATTGGGTTCTTTTTCTCGCATGGATCGAATCTTGTTCACTAAATTGTATTGTAATTCAAAGTCAAGTAGTTCCAAATTTGCCATGCAAAACAAATGGTTTTCATATCCATTCTTGAAAGCCAAAAAAACATCTTTTGATAAATATTGAAAGTTCTTCCGAAGTTGTGGAAGAAGTACAAATCAGGATTTGCCAAGGCTCAGGAAGCGACCCATGATTTGCATACAACGACATTATAATGTTCGGAACACGTGACTTGTCATTGCATGCGGCAACAAATAGTTTTCCACGACTTACAACATCTGACGCTACGCGTTCTATTGGGGTTTTTAGGAGACGTGGGGTTTTTGGCGCTTCAAAAATATGTTGCAGTTTAGTTCCAATATCATTCAATATCTGAAGATGCGAATCCTTTCGGATTTGAGCAATTGTTAAAACTCTGTCTCTAGTCTGTAGTTTGGCATTCGGGTTTACAAATTTAACGAGTGTTTGGCATATTTTAGTATTGCTGGGTGAACGACTTGTGAAAAAATCATAAAATTCTAGGATATGTCGTGCTGGAAAGAATGTTAGATAGTAATGATTTTCCTGTGCTTTATTCACTAAATTTTCCCTATAAATCAAAGGAACATATAACATTAATATAATATATGAAAGTAGAAAGACATTAATAATTACCATTTTCTAAGCTCCGCTTTTAATTTTTCGACCAATTGAATCATATTTACAGACCCTTTTACTGAAGTTTGAAACTCTCTATATCCAAAATGACCGGTTTCAATCAATTTCGCGGCAATATTATTAACGATATCCTGAGCTATATCCACTTGACGTACAAATTCATCCATTATATCCTTTGTTTTATCTTCTTCGTTCCCATCGTTCGAACCTCTAATTGTGATATCTGGTTTTGCAATTAAAAGAGCCCGTCCTCGCAAATCCTGCAAATCATTAAAATTATATGTGACAATTCTTGTTTTTGTAATTGGATATGATAAATTCACTGAACACTTTTTATCTGTCGATTTCCATTCAAATTTATAAGTTCCAATTTTAACAGCATTTCGAATCTTTTCTTTAGTCACCTCTCCTCTGTTACTAATGTTTGAATACATATTTTGTAATGCCATATTGTTGCTATTGCATAATGTAACTTTTGTTGCGAGTGTTGGATTCAATTCAATGACTTTAAATAATTCTTGTAAAAATGTATCCAAGGTTAAGGTTGGTGCAGCATTCAATAGTGGAAACAAGAATTGTTTAACTTGAATAAGAGATGAAACTGTGTCTTCCTGAATCAATCGTTCATCAGAATGATCATCGACACCATTTATAAGATTTTTAAGATCGTGTTCCGCAATAGATCTGAGAAAAATGATAAAGTCTTCAGCAATTGAAAGCTCTTTAATTAATGACCAGCCATTTTCATCAATGATGTCAAGATAATTACTAATAGTATCAAATACAGAGCTTAATTGACCTAAAAAGATCGATTGCTCTTCAAGATCACTAAGAGCTTTTGAGAGCCAATCCTGTTCACTCCGAGGCACGTTAAACATTTCTAACACAGTTGATAGTTGATGTAACTTTTGTGTTATTTTCAAAATTTCAGAAAGATAATTAAGAGTCATCATGTACTTTTGATCTTGATTCTTGGGAATAAATTCAGCCATGAATTCAAGCTCAGCATTGATATTTGTGACTTTTTTCCAAAACATTGCTGCGAAAGTCAACTGAAGATCTTCCCAATTTTGAAATTTAGAACAATCTTTAACGTATGATTCAAAAACTTCCGGCATAATATCTTGTACAAGGGTTTGTACATTTATTTCATTCGGGATTTCTTGCAAAATTTTTTCAAAAACGTTATAAAATGTTTGGGATTTATTGTATTTGTAAACTTTCTTGGCAACATCTAAAATCTCATAATGATCCTCCCATATTTCTGGACGCCGGGTTTGGTCAAGTGAAATTGATTCCCACATGTTCTTTTGTCCATGTAAAAGACTAATATAGTCCTGTTCATCTATGACCTTAGCGACTGAACAATATCGTACATAGAAAGCATTAAGATGCTCAAACGTTTGCAAATATTCTCTGGTTTGTTTCTTAATTGATTCTAAAATCTTTTTTGTGACTTGTACCTCAACATTTTCATCATCAAGTATTGATACAGACTCAAAATATGTGAATAAAAAATCGTCATCATATTTGCAAATATTTTGTAAGAGAAAAATATCAATTGATTCTTTTATTATATCAAGGCCCAATTGTGAAATCGCTCTTTTAACTATCTTAATGTAATGAAGTGAATTTAACTTTTCCACATAACCATCAGCTCTCAAGATCATTTTCCAAAAATTTGCTGCACTAAGAAGGGATAGAAGAAAACTTGCCGGAGCTGTATCTAAATCCGTATCATAAGATGGGTGATTTATTTCCAAACATTCAATAATATGACAAATCAAATTTTCGCTTAGCCTAAGTTAAAATAAGTTAAATTATCAGTTATATTGAACAAATATTAATAAATAAATGTAAAGATACTTACGAGCTCGGAATCACAAGTTGTTCATCTGAAAGAGCACCAATTTGCCTAATTCTTATGATCAATTGATCATCGATATGTTGCGTGGATGCAGTCAACATTTCTTCAATTATTCGGCGAAAATGCATAACAATTTCCGGAGGAAGCTTCTCAACACTTGGCATAGCTTTGAAAACAAGACTTTCGGGAAATTGTTTTATACTATGGACAGCGAGTTCTATTATTTTTTTCCAGAGCACTGTATGTCTTCCAATTCTCCCATGGAGAAGTGATGCATGATGGAAAATCAAAAGGATAGTATTCTGTTGAATACGAGATGAGGTAGTTAAACGATCCAAGAGGCGTTCATACCATTTTTTACAAATTTTAAAAAGGGTCTCCCGTTCTTCTTTGAGGTCATCATACTCATCTTGAAAGGTTTTTAATAGTTTATGAAAATGATACAACATTTGAATGTCAGTGAACTGAGAGAATAAGTCTAATATTTTAATATAATCATCGGATGTCCAAAAAAGTTTTTCACTTTCTAAAAATTGAAATATTGCTTCTGAATGTTTTGACGGCAAATTTGGACATTTAAGACTATTTTGCAAATGCACAATAATTCTTTTTCGAAATGCTTCCGCCACCAACTCAGCAAAGTCTTGTGGAAGTTCAAAGAATAGCTCATGTAATTGAACAATATCCTTAAGTCGTAAATTCTTTTGGACTCTTTCTAACAATGTGTGGTGAAGTAAAACTATGACAT